CCCCAAAACCCCAAAACCCCACCAACCAAAGTTAAAAATGAATATTTTTGAAAGAGAATAAGCTGTTTTAATTCACGATAAGAAATCATATAATAAACATTTAATAAAACACTTGAAAATAACTTTATGTTAAACGTTGCAACCTAAGCTATTCTTATATTAGTTTTAGTATCAACAACTAATGCTTGGCCAGGATATAAATCTTCATAACAAAAGAAGACAAACTCAGAATTCTGCTATGAAACAAATGGTGTTCATGGAGACTGTGGAACGAAATATAAAATAAGAGGGAATCACCCAGAAAATGTCAAGCTTCCACCTGCTTTTATTATGGAATTCGAGTAATCAGTTATTGAATGCGAATTAAATGATCCTCATTGTTTTCCTCCCTTCTATCCTTCTGCCACAGAATAGCTTTAGGGAAGGTATCCAATTACTATCGGTAAAGGATTCACCTATTTTAATTCTACTCACAGAGGAGGCTCATAAGTAGAGTATTACTCCAAAAATTGTGTACCTGTATTTCAAAGCTATATTGCTCATTTCCAATGTACTCTTTACATAATAAATGACACATAAACTGCATATTTTACGACTGAAAATGGTCCAAAAGAGTTTGGAGACTGCTGCATATTAACTAAGGGATTCCATCCACCAAGGAGAGATTTTATTAGAAATCTAAATTACACTGGTATCAAGACATATGGTGTTCACCATTAAAAGTATCATAGTTTTACAGTAAAAACTAATGAGGGAGAGTTTTGTTTTAACTTTTGGGATAAAGAAATGACTGATAAGCATTCAGGAGAGAAGTATCATGAACCTGCCTTTTTTGAATATGAAGGGTTCTAAAAAAGCACAAAAAACACAAAAGGAGAGCCATAAGATTTGAGAATATTTTAGACTTTCCATAATATCAGAACTGATCCATTCAATCCTGAAGACTACTTTACTCTGCCTGCAGCTTGTAATCCTGATGCTCCTAGATGTCCTGACTATGATCACTCAGCCTATAATAAGCATATGACATTCATGTAATGAGCTATTAGCTTCTCGTATTAATTTTAGCAATCTTTATTCTTTTGATATATGTATTTACATAAAAACTTTTCACTTGCAATTCAAGCATTTTTTAGAATGGGGGTTTTGGGGTTTTGGGGTTTTGGGG